TACACTGGACCCCTTTAATATAGGCCTTTAATATCATATACCTACGTACTTTTGTCCCAAGATATGTCATGATATCTTGTTTTGAGATATATTTAATTGCCTTAGCATCCCATTTTAGTAGTAGTTTTCTACTAAACTAAATCATAACAAATAGTGAGAATTAATGTAGGTTTATTATTTATATTCACATTGTAGAAAAAAAATTACAATGTTGCCATCACTAAACTTTTGTCCACTTTGGTTTAAAACTCCGTCCAGGCAGAGCTAAATCTCTATTCCTTCAAATTGTTAACAAAAATATTTAAATATAGTATTTTTTCACTGTTCATTACATATTGGCAAGTCGATAACTTTTGTATTAATGTTTCCCCAGATTAAGTTGGGGCACACTACATTTTTTGGTTTGTTCTAGGCTAAAAAAGTTAGGGTTTGGTTTTGGTTTCTTACATTATCATACCCCTGTATAGTTTGTTTGTTTGTTTACATTTCCCCAGATTTGATTATCTTATCACTATATCATTAGGTTTATAATATAATGTTATTACACCCTAAATAGTTGGGGATTTTTTAGATTTTTAGATCTTTGTATATGTTTTGATGACTATACTACCCTTTATAGTAGGGTGTTGCATGGGCAGGGGAAAAAGGAAAAAAAAAAAAGACGTTTATTAACATTTTGTGTCCCAATGTGACTAAGAATGATTTTTTTGTGGTTGCCGTGGGCATGTCTTTTAGCTTTGAATAAAACTTAAATATATCTATTATTTTGTCCTGTATAACATAAATATAAATATAAGTATCTTTAAACTTTACTTATGTCTGTCGTGGTTTTGTTTAAACCATGTTGATTAATATGAACTATATAATTTAAATACTGTTTACAGGGTTATTTTCGCCCTTTTACACTTGCTTAAATTTGCCCCGTTTTTAATTTGCCCATTCTAGTCCTGTTTAATAAGAATTTATGATGTGGTCTTTAATTCGCCCGTTTTTAAAATTTGCCCCCTTGTGACAAGGGGGAAAGGGGCGAAAATTAAACGGGACGAAAATATCCCTATATACAATTATGAATGTATAATTAAATCCACCATCGTGTGGAGGTTACTCTTAATACATTTTTTTATAATCTGCTCGATGTTATTAATAATCAAATAAGTATGATCATGCTTGTACATAGATACTGTTTTGAACAACCTGTGTTTGATCTGAAGAATTGGGCGTTAATGAAAACCTAACAACAAAACTATCGTGATGAACGTGATAATTTCATCTTTTCAAGCGTCAACTTTTTTTGCTTGTATAAGTAAGCAATATACCCTTATCATCAGTGGATGAAGTTTGTCTCTCGTTTAACACGATATGCAAAAAAATACTCTATGCCCAAACAATTGCTAAAATGGGGCAAGGTAATGACAAATAAATTGATTAAATAAGGATATCAAGTTTGTCTCAGTCATGATTTTGCAACAGCAATTTACGCATCGCACTGGTTACCGCGATTTTTCTGATTGTTCATCATGACAAGGAGCAGATGGCGAGTGTGACAATCAATGGAAGCAACTTCCCCCGGCACCTAACCCTACCTTTGATGTTTTTAATTGTGCTTATTTATCTGCTCCATATTCGTATTGTTGCAATTGAATTTTGAACTTAATTACGGGATTTTTTTTTTTTTTTTTATCTCTATATTCATTGAATTTGTTTCAAGGGTTTAGAGGAGCTGCGTTAACAAAATGGGTATTACAATTCCTTATCAGTAAAATGGTAAAGACCATATTTTGCTATGTTTTTGTTATGGGAAACCTCAAGCATTTGTCCTCTGAAAACGAAAACAGAGTACTAGTATAACAATGACACTGTATGACAAAGATCCTTTTAATTATATTTTAATCAGTATTATCGGTTTATAGAGATTGTATCCGAAATTATAAAAGAATGGAGTTTCCTCTTTTACTTTCGGGAAAAAACTTTGAAAATACATTGTGTGACTGATCGAATAGTAAAAGGAAATGCACAAAATCACTATACGCATAGAAATTGCAATTTGTATTGCATGAAAAATTACGGTTATTGGAAGGCTACCTCAAGTTTGACGTAAAGACGTACGTTCTATACATTCTCATCAATGTTATCCCCAGAGTTCAAGAGAATGTATAATAACAAAAATTCAGAGTTTGCAAATTAGATTACGGTAAAGTTTACGATTGCAAAATGGTGCATATCTTTAAAGGGCCATCCATGTCGTCATCATATCAATGTCTGCAAAAATTGAAGATTTTTTTTATGGTCAAAGATTGTGATGTCAAAAAATGTAAGGTTTAATTTAGCATTTCTGTTTTAAGTAAAAGACATAATAAGTAATTCAAACATCTTTTTTTGTTGTACTATTCTTGTATCTACAAAATGAAAATGACAAGGTTTTTTTTTCTAAAATTTTACAAACATTGTTTGATCGAATTTTATTTTATTTCTTCTATTATTCCTCCACCATGAGTCCCAAAAAAAAAAAAGCAAAAAATTGTGATACAAAAGATAAATTTTCAAAAATCAAATTTTTAATTGAAAGATAAGCAGACCAGACTAATAATAAACCATATAAATGTTATGTAACCATGATTTTTTAAGAAATAACAATGACACAAAGTTAATAAACTTTAGACAAATAATAAAGTTCATATTACTGCAAAACGTGATTATATGGAAAATTCTTTTGTATCATAAGTCAAGTATAAGATTATCAGTTTTACACTACTCACATTTACTGGGGGCATAGTTTATTAGTACAGGTGTACCCTGAGGGACATTCGCTACAAGTAGAACCCGCAACATAAGGCCGATCTCCATTATGTTTCCCCCTGTTGATAAAAAAGGCATAGCAATTACAAATATTGTTTTTTACCTCAAAAACAACACCAAAACTCACATACAAAACAAGAGGCTAATGGGCCACATCGCTCACCTGAGAAGCTTTGACCATCTGTTCTTTACCAGATTTCCCCCTTGTAATACATTATGTATCCCCAGCCTACCCCACTGATCATAATTAAGACATTTTGAAATCAACTACCCCAGGATCCTTCCATGTGCAAATAAGTTTCAGCTTTTCTGGCCCAGTGGTTCTTGAGAAGAAGGTTTTCAAAGATTTTTCCTATATATTTTTATGTAAAACTTTGATCCCCCCATTGTGGCTCCACCCTTCCCCTGGGGGTCATGATTTGAACAATTTAAAATCTACATTACCCAAGAATGCTTCCACATAAGTTTCAACTTTTCTGGCCCGGTGGTTTTTGAAAAAAGTTTTTCAAAAATTTTTCCAATATATTTCTATGTAAAACTTTGATTACCAATTGTGGCCCCACCCTTCCCCCGGGGGTCATGATTTAATTTAGAATCTACACTATACCAGGATGCTTCCACATAAGTTTCAGCTTTTCTGGCCCAGTGGTTCTTGAGAAGAAGATTTTTCTTATATATTTCTATGTAAAACTTTGATTCCCCATTGTGGCCTCGCTCTTTCCCCGGGGTCATGATTTGAACAATTTAAAATCTACACTACCCAAGAATGCTTCACATAAGTTTCAACTTTTCTGGCCCAGTGGTTCTTGAGAAGAAGATTTTCCAAGATTTTTCCTATATATTTCTATGTAAAACTTTGATTCCCCATTGTGGCCCCACCCTTCCCCCGGGGGTCATGATTTTTACAATTTAGAATCTACACTATCCCAGCATGCTCCACAAAAGTTTCAGCTTTCCTGGCCCAGTAGTTCTTGAGAAGAAGATTTTTAAAGATTTGTTCTATATATTTCTATGTAAAATTTGCATTCCCTATTGCAGCCATGCCCTACCCCCGGGGGTCATGATATTAACAATTTAATATCTACACTACCCAAGGATGCTTCCACATAAGTTTCAGTTTTCCTGCCCACTGGTTCTTGAAAGAGATTTTCTAGATTTTTCCTAAATTTCTATGTAAAATTTATTCCCCATTGTGGCCCCGCCCTTCCCCCGGGGTCATGATTTGAACAATTTAATATCTACACTACCCTAGGATGCTTTCACATAAGTTTCAGCTTTCCAGTAGTTCTTGAGAAGAAGATTTTCCAAGATTTTTCCTATATATTTCATTAAAACTTTGATTCCCCATTGTGGCCCCGCCCTTCCCCTGGGGGGTCATGATTTGAACAATTTAATATCTACACTACCCCAGGTTGCTTCCATATAAGTTTCAGCTTTTCTGGCCCAGTGGTTCTTGAGAAGAAGATTTTTTAATAAACCCACCCTATTTTTGTCTTTTCTTAATTATCTCCCCTTGTGAGAGGACCTGGCCTTTCATTTTAACAATTTAAATTCCTCTTCACCCAAGGATGCTTTGTACCAAGTTTGGGTAAAATTGGCCCAGTGGTTCTTAAGAAGAAGTCAAAAATGTGAAAAGTTTACAGAAAAACAGACAGACAGACAGACGGACGGACGGACGGACGGACGACGGACACCGGGTGATCAGAAAAGCTCACTTGAGCTTTCAGCTCAGGTGAGCTAAAAAACTAAAAATTAAGCAAAGAAATGCAAAAATAACAATTTAAGGAAGGAAAACAATACCCAGAGAAAAACAAAAAAACAATCGAGAAAAATAAATAAACCAAAACATTACACAAACGGTTGAATGATATATTTAAATAAAAAATGCTTTCTTTATGTTAGTACAAAAATTAAGTGCAACTATTGCAGAGAAAATATGTATTTTTTTCTGCCATTGCTGCGACGTTAAATTCCCCTACTAACAATAAAAAAAGCATGTTATTCTTTATATTTACATCTTTATTAAAAATCATTCAAAGTCAAATTAAATTTGTTAACTTTTGTTTTTAAAATGAATATGTCTTTGATGAGAACTGATCGAACAGCCAATATTGAAAAAACTACACACATGCCTTGCTCAGTGTTGTTCATGCACTGATTAATGGCAATGGTCTTCGTAAGAAATAAAGAGGGAGGGGGGATATTCAGTGGTTCCGTTCGCCGTAATTGCATACGTAGAAGTAGGCAGAGTCCGATTTATCCACCAGAGGTGTACACAAGGTTACAGCACATCCCACGTATTCTGTCTCCGCCCACGCTACCTTCAAAGGACAAAAAAAATTCTCTAACTCCATTAAAACTAAAAAAAAAAAACAACAAACAAACCACACAACTTCTTTCTCTGTTTTCTTCTCAGAACTATTTAATCTTACCTGAGTGTAATGCCCGCATTTCTTATTAGGTGCACACGTATTGGCATAGAAGTCGTAATCATGTTTTTCGTCATCCCAGCTAGTAACAACTTCAAAAGGAGTGTTTTCGTCTGCATAATAAATATTCAACATTTATTTAAATGTTTGTTAAAATTAATGTGCATATTCATTTAATGGATGTTATTGTATAAGACTTATTTGATTCAGTTTCGAATGTGAAATTAATGAATTTAGATGTAAGCATTTTTTTAATGCCTTCTTGTTTAGTTTAAAATTTAAAACAAAATAAAAGATTAAGTAAAAGTCTTAAAGATTCCATACTAGTATCATAACGTAAATTTTCTCCCACTCTTCTAAAACTTGGAGCCTCCTCATATTTATTTGGATTATGTTTATACACGCACTTCCTGGAATAGTTCAGAGCCACCGATGCCAACTCTGCACTCCATTTCTATTCAAAGTACATGTACACTGAATAGTTTGAAATGAAGTGTGACAGAGACAAAATCTGTACCGGTACCTTGAAATTGGTCTTTGGCTTATCAAATTTATAATTTTTTAAAGGTTGAATTTTAAATTTACTTTTTCTTTTTGAACACACATCGTCTCAATTTGAAATGAATTTGAATGAAAAATTTGTTTTACTAGTGAATAAGAAATATGGATATGAAAAAATGTGCATGATATTAAAAAAAAGTGAAAAATGTTTTTATAAATGTTGCTTACCAGTTCTCTCATGTTAGACGCCGTTGGCACCACAATCCGTCGCTTAGCGTTATGGGCCTTTTTATACAGGAAAAAGACAGAACGAAACAGGACGAAAGTTAACATATTTGAACGTAAGTAGATATTCAATATGTCTCTCAAATTGAATAAAAATCTCTCTAAATCAACGAAAAAATTCCTTCGAGTGAAAGAGCTAACTCTATCCGTAAAAGATATCGCTCTTTTAATAAATGAAAGAAATACATATACTACCGTGGAATCATTTTAATTCGTGGGGGTCAATGTTCGTGGAAAGCAAAATTTTGTTGGTTCGTGGGGACATAGCTTCGTGGGTAACTCATATAGATATATAAACAGAAGATTCAATATAAAACATGACAAAATGAATGTTCGTGGGGATGTAAATTCGTGGATAAGGGTGACCCACGAAATCCACGAACATCGGTCCCCAACGAACAGATTCCACAGATGTACATGTACACGTATCTCCATGTGTTGAAAGATATTTTCGTTCTTACATGTATGAAAGGTCTCTTAAAATAAGAGGTTTTTCTCTGATATTTAATGAGAAATCTTTTTTTCTGAATAAATAGCATTGGGGCATTGCATATTTTATATTTTATTAAAAAGAAACAAGTGTTATGCCCTGTATGATAACATGGATAATATTACAAAAGAATAAATTTTGCTATTTAATTTTCAATTTTTTAGTTTTTAAAACCAAAGCATGATGTTAACGATTTGAGATTAAACTTCATCTATTTTGGGTTTTCCATACTGTGTAAGGATGTAAGGAAGGTTTTTTTTATAAATAAAAGAGTTGTTAAAGGTTAGAAGTTACATGTATACATATCTACTATATCGATACTTACATCTAGGAAATCTTGTTCAAACTGCGTCAGGGCGGCTACCAGAACCCCACAGGACACTGCAAACAGAACAATAGAACAACAAACTTGTGTCATTTTGCTTCTCAACCGTATTACGTTTGGTGTAAAATGTCTCAAGATCATTTGCTACGCATTATATATAAATCAACTTAATTGATTTTTGATTGATAAAATAATTTGCATTGATATTTTTTTCATATTATATATGACTCTTTAAGAGAGACAGATTGATAATAATAATCAATTTGCGATATAAAAATTGATTACATTTCGCTGAAACAGGATATTTTTGCAGAACGAACAATCCCTTCCAATATCATTACTTCTTTTTATCAGATTGAAAAGTGCATTTTATTAATATACAAAGTATACTTGTGCATCCTTTTCTTAATTTTTCCTGCCGTGATGAAGTTGTGTGATAAAATCTTTTATACAAAGAAGCAAATCAATTTTATACTTTTTAAAAAAAAATTATGTTTTCTCTATTTTGAACAAAAGTGCATTTTTATATAATAATATTTGAAGGCAGATATAAAATATCGATGCTATTCATTCTATTTCATAAAGTACATTGTAGTACTGTACTCAACTGAATTTCAAGATTAAAATATTCATTTTAGTGCATACTGAATAAGAAAGAGAAATCAATATTTTTTTTGTAAGATCTCTCATGACGTGATACTTACATGTATTTGAAGTAGACAATTAGTTTATCCGTCTGTGAAAGCTGCAAAGGGCTGTGCAATGCTCCTAGTGTGTTGATTTAAGCTAAAGCTTGTCACCTCTTGCTTTTAGCTCCAACTGCTGGCTAGCAGAAATGCAAAAAGAGATACCATATATGATTTCTTTCTGCAAAAATAGCCTCTCCACAAGTCATTTGCCATACCTTATCGTTGAAGCAGTGCAGACGAAAACTGGCCACATTTCGACCCCAGAATTAAATTTCCTCTCAGGGGCGCATGGAGAGATGAGACTCTAGAGTCTTGGCCAGTAGCTAAGAGAAAAACTCTGATCACAAACGTGGTTAGTAAGGACTGCTACATTGGTCCTCCAGACATAAACCTGGAGATTGACCATGAGGCCAATCACCTTATTAAAAAAAGAAAGCTGATTTACGGAAACTGTTTCAACAATCAACTCTACTTTAGGAAAGATATTAAGACAAGCGAGATTCCTTAGAAGATTCTTTGGGAAACAGACGTTATGGTGGTAATTAGTTAAAAGGACCTAAATAGACTGAAAGGAACGCAGATGCCATCCATAACAACACCAAAAACATTAACAAGAAAGGATGATGAAATGTAAGAATATTGTTTCAAGTTGGAAAAGAGGTAAAAATATAAGATATGGTTCAATCTAGATTAACCTTTGTCAGAATGAGTGAAATGCTTTGCCAAACTAAAGATATCCTCATGGAAAACTACCCAGCACTCTGGAGCTTAATAAACAGCAAAGAGGAGTAGCGTTTAGCGTTTATACTCAATAGGACATGTCGTCTAAGACAGACTGAGTGAAATCATGGTAAATGTTTTCTCTCTCGTTCTGCTAGAATGAATATATTAATAGAAATGACGTAGATCAAGGCGATGAGGACACCTTCTTAGAACATAGAGAGTTATTTATAACCTACAGAGAAAGATTTGTGAAATACCAAAACATAACATGTTGGTAAGTTATATGCGATGTAAATGCAAAAGTTTGGGAAAACCAAATGAAGGCTTTGCAAGAGTCAATGGAGGAAAGGGAGAAAGCACCATGAATGAGAAAAGATGAGATAAGCAGAAATGTGTCCTAAACAAGTTGGTGAATGCATGATAGATATGCTGTATGTGATGTCAGCAAATGCTGTTCAGATCAACATTTTATGATAACGAAAATAAGGCTGAAACTCTGAAAAAATGAAAAACCATGAGCAAATAACAAGAAGAATGATGATGTCATAAGACTGAAGATCCTACAGTATGCAGAGGGTTCTAATCTAAAGTAAGAAACAGGTTTAAGCGACCGTCAGTTGAGGGAACACATTTAATGAAAATTTTTAAGTTGACCCTTGTAAAAGAAGATCAGAAAAAAACTTGAGATATTGGGAGTTATGGAGAAAAAGGATAAAGAAAGAGAAAAGAGGATGGAGTGAAGCAGGGATGTGTTATGTCCGGATTTCTATTCATTATTGAAGTAGACTGGATAATGAGATGCGCTAAACACTGAAAAAAGAGAAATACGCTGGAAATAAATATCCTTCTTAGAAGATCTGTACTATGTCAACAACCTTGATGTTCATCCGGAACACATCGGTCCTTTCACAGAAAAAAAAAGTGTTTCTGTGAAAGGCCCGAGGTGTTCCGGATACCTTGATATCCTGCAGACTGAGCGTTATATGTCGTAAATGATCATCTATCTTCATTTTAATCTTGGATGGAAGACGAAAAAAGTTTTATAGTGTATCAAAAATAATTAGATTTTTTAGAAGGTCTTCTTTTATAGGCAACATATGATATTTATTAGAATGAGAAAACCATTACAAAGCATGTGATCCTCATCATTCAAAAGAAGATACTAATTGACATTTAAAGGCAAGGAATGATCCTAATTCATAAAAGACAATTATTCTCATTTTTATGATTGTAAATTGCTATTTCTTTTGTAATATAAGGAATATTAGCAACATAGTTGATTCGAATTGTACTGCTGAAATATTGTCGACTCGGCTTCAGTAAAATATATCAATCATGCATCGGTATTCTGGTTTCTAAGCTTTATTTCTCTGAATGCGTGTTACATGTAAGGGAAGTGAGAGAACTCCAGGGTTTATCAAAAACCGAGGCACAAAATCTGCATTTGCAATACACGAATGCATGCTTCGTGGATTTATGAAATTTTCTTTTGTAATCCCCTGCATAGGTGCTTGCAAAAAATAACTTGGAATTAATCCACGTAGAGAATTAAAACTGATAAATCATAACAATTAAGGTAAGCTTTTATCAACATTCTACAAACCATATGCGATATTTTTGTTCTCGAAAAGAATTTATTTTGTATATTTTGAAGAAATGACAGCTTGTTTTCACGACAGAGCAATTTTACCAAAAAAGGGATTCTGTCTTTTTAGCCATAACATGTGCTTCACAATTATGACAATTTATATGACGTTAAATCTTTCGATGTTGGAATACAATATCAACTCCTTCTCTGGTGTTAAACGTGTTTTGAGCATTAATCTGGATGCTGATCTGATAACTAAATACTAAGTTTAATATTTCAACATATGTTTCTCCTCAATAGTTAATGAAAACATTTATAGGCAGAGAGAGAGAGAGAGAGAGAAAGAGAAAGAGGTGGAAGCGATTATTTTTAATAGTAATGAGTTACACATAGCAAATTCAGTTTGACCACAATGATTAATTAAAACTCGTTGAGTGGTATGGGTATTTATAAATTGTGAGAAACATGCTGTAAAACATAGGATGATTAATAAAATTTTATGAGAATTTACCTCTTCTAAATAACATTTTTAAATCAAGGATAAAAAAAATAAATTGATAATTACCTACATATACGAGGGTTGTTCGAAAATGTCGTGGACTTTTGTCATTTCTTTTTTATTTAACGTTATATACTATCCACATTTGGTAGAAATATTTTAACAATAAATCCAAATGATTTTCTAAATTTTAAATAAATTGAATTATCATTATTTAGTTCAAACCTATCCAGATTTAAAAACAGCAAAAATCGGATCGCGGAGCAGGTCAAAATTTAGTAGTTCACAAACAACTCATCACAAAGGCATGATGATGTCTGTAGTCATATTCTTTGTAAAATGGAGCAAACAAAAAAAAAAAAAAAAAAAAAAAACGAAAAAAATCCCAACTTTTAAATTAAAAACTCTTACATTGAGTTGTATTCCAAATAATGACTTAATATTTTGCTTCGTTGAAGAGAAATCGATTCGAGATAATAAGTAGTCCTCATTGGAAGAGACAAAAATGATGAAGTTGTTGAACGTCAGAGAGCAGCAGATAACGATGCAATTTTGTGTTATACTCGGGAAAAATCATTAAAAAACTTTAAAAATGTTAAAAGAACCAAACATTATATGACATTTTGTGACAAGTAGGTTGTCCATGTGTTTTCAAATGGTGCAGTCGGTATTTGCTTGACAGATAATCTGTATCAGACGAAGAAGGGGTTTATATGGTAAAATATGACCAAAAACTTTAAAAATTTGGAAAAACATAGGTGCTTCAGAGTTGCAGCTCTTGTAAAAGCAGAGTTGAATGGTAATTGAAATTAAACATTAACAAAGGAAATTATACAACGAGAACAATTGTTCGAAAAATAAATAAAAATTATTGTTAAACTTTACTATGTGAAATGTATAGGGATAGTATTTGAAAGAAATTCTCGACGCTATGTTTTTGACGTTACATAGCCGTTAAACAAAACAAATATTTTTACACATGAAATAGTGCTTATTTTAAATTTCATGAAAGTACATGTAGTATAACGAAGATATCGCCCGCGAACTTTTCGAACAACCCTCGTATTGGTAAATAAATTAATAAATTTTATTCTACTTGCTTCCTTGCTCATCCACCAGAACAGAGGCCTCAACAAAGATGTCGGGTGAGTATATTTTATTAAGTAGATAATGCTTTCAATATCAGTGAAAGCATTGATAGAAACATTGTTTCCAAAATAACACTATAGAATTATGTATCAGTCAATTATCCGTCGATCATTAGCAGCGTTTAAATTCAATATTTAAATTGCCACAAAGTCTTACATATTTTTTTTTCCACTTTTGGGTCTCACAAAAGACATTACAACCAACGGCAACCTTACAAGAAAACTTTATGATTAACGTGGTGATTTCAACTTATCTATTGTCAACTTTTTTTTCATTATCATCTGCGTTTTGAATTTTTCTCCCTTTTATGCATAATCTAGCACTGCTTTCGAGCTATTTCTAAAACAAGGCAAGCTTTTACCATTATGTTGATTATGCAAGGATATCGACAATCCACTTAAAAAGTCTGTCAAGAATTAATTCTATGTTTCTCCAATGACCGTATATTAAGCAAATACAATTTGTTGTTAAGTCAAATGTTGAATGATGTTTTCATACAAATTGTTTCGAACTGAATTGTGTACGGAATTTTCCGTTTTCCCAAGCATGACACATAGTATATACGGCGGA